CTGATTGCACCGTCAAGGTGAGAGAATTCTTCGTTACCTTAAGCTGCTGGAACTTTGCTACTGAATGTCTTGAAAGTCTTGAATTGTAATTTTTCCGCCTGCGCTACAGGTTCATATACCATGCGCGCCTCCGAGGACGTTAAGCACCCTGCACTATCAAACTGGAGTCCATGGGGTGAGTGCTGTGCAGTCAGTCAACACTTTGTTTATATAGCAACTTTTTTATACAACTTCGTAGCTCAGAATGGTTTACAGAACAACAACATGTGCAAAAAAAAAAAAATCAACCCAGCAAACACACACCGTATAAAACTTGTCAGGAAGCCAATGCAGAGACTTTAAAACTGGTTTTATATTTGCTCTCTTTCTGGTTTTGGTTAGGATCTGTCAGTTTTGCAGTAGCTGAAGGGGTTGCTATAGTTCCTTTAGGGAGGTCATACTCGCAAAAGTACTGACAGTTCTCTCTTTCTGGGCATCAGTGATGATATTTTAACTTTATTAATGTGGGCTTCTTTTCATCGTTCATGTGTCTTCTCTCTCCTCTTGTTTCTCTCACTGCACTGTGTGAAAACTTTCAGCTGAGCGTGGAGGCCGGAGTCCTCGCTATAGCGTCCGGTGACGTCAGGGTGCAAGTGTGGAGGCCTCGAAAATGAAGTGGAAGCAACTACATGGTAACAATGAAAACAGGAACCCTGGTCTTTGTTGTGTTGTTCTGTGTCTCTATACAAATCAACAAAGGTAAATAAAGAAGCTGCCGTTGCCTGGAAGGCTGGCTACATCAACAGTCATGTAAGTGCTGAGTAAACAGACAAACACAGAAGGGAAGAAATGACGACAGATGATGACCAATCAGGTTATTTTTAATTTTTAAGTGAACTATTTTGAAATGACTGCTTTCAGTTGTTTAATTTAGTTGTAAATATGTGGTGGAGGATATTTCAGGTATTTTAGTCTTGTCACAAACCCTCAAATTATATTTTTATTTTTTTTATTTCTATCTTGTTTGATCCACTGAAAAGATTTTTCTATGGAAGGAAAGCAAATGTTTATTTCATTGTTTACCCCAAAAATGTTCATTTTGTGCCAAAACTCACTGAATCACTCTTAAGGACACTTTAAGTGTTCAAACAGCACTGAAACCACAGACATGTAAATGTTTGTAATTATAATACCTTTATTGAATCTCATATGTAAACTGGCATTATACAAGAATAATTACTTAAACATTTCATGTACAGTAAACTAATTATTGCTCTGTGACAAACTGATTGTATTTCTATAGCTATTTAATTGAATACAGTCAGGAAAGTGTTATTATTTGTGTCCATATGCTGTGTGTGTTTTTACTATTGACCAAAAATCCATTTACAAACATGCTGAGAGACTGTTTCCACAGAAGACAGCATTAAAAGTTCTAAAAATCAAGTGCGTGGATTCTTTCATGATTTTCCAGATGAGGACATGTAGTATCTTTTACACAGTACATGTTCGTGGTTGCGTTCTCGGACAGAGGTTTTCCTCACAGCGCCGTCTGGGAGCTGTCAAAGAATCAAACAGGTCTTCTTATCTTTGAAGGGATTGGATGAAGCAGCTATGCCGGTAAGCAGGGGGTCACTGCGCCTGTGCTCCTGACAGTACTGGACTAAATCTGCTGCTGTCAGAGAGATCTGCAGGGCAGAGAGTTGACTGGATTTTAGACACAAGTATGAAAAACTGTTGGACAGTGAGCATGGGAAGTTTTTATAAAAATACATATATATTCAGTACTTTGGCAATTTAGCAATTAAAGTATAAAATGATAGTCCTGTGTGATACTAAAAATTAATATTGATCCAATACCAGCTAAATACAGATACTGATACCTTTAACTTATGTCAGCAGCTTATGTCGGGAGGCCAGTGTGTCATAAATTCAACCAGATGAATCATACATTTTCAAATTCTGAACACATCTTAATGACCACTGAAATGACCATTTCAGATTTCTATGTATTTCGTAACTGTTTTTGGGAGACCTGGGATGTAAATGTGTATGTGTCTAAAGCACTCTGGATCTGCTTCTGTTGTTTAAATGTGCCGCAGGCTTTAAATAAAACTGATGTGACAATAAACACAAAAGATTAAGACATCATTCATAGGGCATGTTTAAATTATAGGTTTTTTACACCCCCCACACACACACACACAAAATTTAATACAATTTAGTGATCTACATACTGAACGTAGAGGATGGAAACAAATATCGACCATATCATGCTTAGTCTCAATCCAATACCGATACCAGCATTGGTATCAATACAATTAATTTTTATATCAATCTGCCCACCTCTATAAAGCAAATTAACAAATGATTTAGATTCTTACCCACCTTGAATCTCTCCATGCTTGCCTCTACCCGAAGTTGATCCACCAGTTTTTGTGCCTGAATAACACTGCTGCTGCTGCTGCACATCTTTCCTGACATTGTCTTGAGAGCAAAAACACAGAAAAACAACAAAAACATACTCCTATGACACCAAAGTTAGCAGCAGAAAAATGAGTTACACCAGTCACTTACCTGATCTAAACAGCTCAGGTTATACAGGAGCATCTGCTCAGAGATGCTCCTGGCTTTCCCTTTTGACCTGTATCCTCCTCTGTTTGTTGTTTTTTAATTCCCTGTTGGGGCCAGTTCAAAGACTGTGATAGAAAAGGTCAGACAACACAGTGGTGGAAATGTCACAAACATCACATCTCTTCACAGGCACTGCTGGAGGCTGTGCTTTAGAGATGTGGTCTGCCCTTAAAACAAGATTATGCGTCTGTACTTTGACATTAGATTTTATGTTATATTATATTTAGGATTTTCTCTAATCCACACAGTGTCAACAGTATACATACAGGCCCAATATGTACATACACTCATTTAAATCTTTTAATAAGTAGCGCTGAGGGTTCTATAATGTCTTATGACTTGAAATAGTCAAGGCCTGTTAATTTCTCATTAGTGATCATGATTGACTGCAACTGGTGGGTGTAGCATACAAAGGATTTGCGATTAGCTCTCACTGGACTGATCGACACTCAAAACAATGGGAAAGTTCACGGAATTCTGTAGAGATCTAAGAAGGGGTGGAAAAAAATCTAAAATTTTACTATTTGTCTATCTGCGGAAGATGTGAAAGAAAAACACCGTGAACACCACAAAGGTAGAGTAGCTAAAAAAAAGGGCAACCTGGCAGTAATGCAACAGTTTTGGATGCAAGCTGCCGTTAAACTTGACTGAAGAAGAAGAAGAAGAAAAGGGCAACCTGGATCACATTTGTCCCTTTTCACTTTCCGTAGAAGTAGCTCGTTTCTCACAGGCGATCCATACGACGTTTAGGGGAATACAAATCTTCAATATTTGTTTTTTTGCGCGTAGTGACAGCCGTTTATTGCTCAGCCTTCTTCATCACCTGACGCCTCTTCAAGAACAGGTATGTCTTCATTTCTCTTTTAGATGTTAAGTCGCGATTCAAGCTAGTTTGACTCAGAGTTAGCTTCTAGCTAACGTCTATCACATGGATTTTGTATGTTTTCATTGATGTTGTAGCACCTGCTAAACGCCATATGCTCTTTTAATAAAGGCTAGTCCCTGTACAAAGACATTTATTCCAAAAATAAGTGGAATTTTACATCTAAACCATAGGGTTTTTAAAGTTTCGATATTTTGTGCCTGTGAAATCGATGTTATTTTTTGTTTAAAGCTGATCAAAACCCATGTGATGGCCAGAAGTCGCATTTACATTTAAAATATTCATCTGCTTACTCTCACATTAGCATGTGTTGTAACGAAAAGTCACCAGATATGTAATCCTCAAACAAAGTATTAGAATATCCTGATAAATCAATGCCCAGTCACCTCTCACGACAGTGTTGGTACTCATAAAATCAGATAGTTGATTTTATAAGCTTGCAATATGTTTATGTGAAGTCTTAACAAGTAAAGTTACAGCATAGTTGAGTAAACTGTGCCGTATGTCTCTGTGCAGCAGATCTATAGCAATGTAACTGCAGTACAGTGCTGTGGTAATAAATATACATAGTTGTTTTTTTGTTGCACGCCTCAAAAACGTATTAAAGTAATTTTCCTCCACTTCAACTACGGTATGAAATTAAAGAGATTTTGAGCCACCAGAGACGAGAATATACAACAGACCCGCTATCTGCTCATTTCCAGCTCCATGTTTTTACTTATGGGCTTTACTAGAGTATCTTTATGTAAATAACAGTTAAAATAATAATTTTTATCTTGTACCTGGCCTGCAATGCTTCCCTAAAAACCTGCTTTCTCCTGATTGGCTGCCCTCGGAAACAGAAGGTTTCAATAGCAGATGGGAGGAGCTGTTGTTCACAGAGCCAGAGCTGACCAAATTAATTAATCTTGGGAAGTGCACTGCAGTGGTGAGTTCTCAGAACCTGCTCTTTGAGCAAAAACAATGACAACATCACAGAACGTAAGTTTGGATAACATCATAGAAAGCTCACGGCTCTCCAACGGGAGATTGAGAGACCAGTGTTGGACTGTTAGAACAGCTTTGAAATTCATATGAGTTGTTCGCACTAAAGTAAAAAACACCATCAATTCATGCGGAGACCCTCTTGGCGCCAGCTGCGGTCTCAAGGCTGGAGCTGAACAAAACACCCTGATAACGACTGTGTTTAGACTGTCCCCCCCCCATCCCATGCAAGGCCACCTGGGTTGGCTGGAAGACTGTTTACTTAGCCTGGCAGGGCGAAGGACACTGTCTCAGCTGAACTCTGGACGCGCGCGCGCACACACACACACACTGATATGTACACACTGATCCCCCCTCCCTTTCCAAACGCCTTCGATGCTTGTGCCCTACCGGGGAAGATGGCAGCCGACTGGACCAGCACAGACATGCTGCAGGACCGGATGCACTGTCTACACCGGCTCTCTCTTACCCTTTAACCGCCCCTGTTGCTTGTCTTGTGTTTCTATGGTGTATTGATAGTCATGTGCTTTTTGTGTTGAGGTGTTTTTTCTGTTATCAAACTGTTCTCCCACTAGGAGCTCAGTCTGAGTGGAGTTTTTTTTTTTTCTCCTCCTCTTACCTCATGTTATGTATTTTTCATTGTTTTTTTCCTATCAGCCTACCTTTCTGACATGTCTCCCCAATGTGATGTTTGCGTAAAGTTGGTCAGAAGGTTCCTTTGTAAGTGCGCATGCGCCACTAGCGTGCTGCCTGCTGTAACCCTAATTTCCTTCGGGATTAATAAAGTATTCTGATTAAGACATCCTCCCTCACTGGCATCATTCAGAGGCCCAAAAAGAAATAGCAGAAACAAAGCAGTCTATAGTCTCCACTTCTGGTTCACACGGATTACTTTTACATATGTTGACCTTACTATGAGGTTTTTAGCACTGTAATGAATGATGAATAGAAAATCAGGAAAACTTCAGGAGGTGCACTTTAAAGGAATCTGCAGGATGGACATCCACCTTAGAAACATGCTGCTAGCCTTTCCAGGAATTCAGTTACTCAAATTTTTACTAGGAATCCACTAACTTTAGTTTCTTTACATGCAAACACTCCAGTAACCAAATGTTTCAGGAAAATGTTCTTCCCAACATTTGCACATTCAAATGAATCTCATCCTGAATAAGCTGGATCTGCAAGTGTGTGTTATATTTATTTATTTTTTTTTACCTAAAATATGCTGAAAACCTCCAAGAAGGCCCACCTCTGTGGAAATCTCAAAGAGCCTCTGTTTGGTGATTGTCTTTTGCAGAAAAGATGGCAGACCAGGCCCCCTCAGTTGCCATGGAGGCTGTCCTGAAGCCTAGCTGCGATCTCCCCGAGGACATGCCGAAAATCAGAGGTTACGACTTCAACCAGGGAGTCGATCTCCATGCGGTGCTGAAGTCCTACCTCACCACGGGCTTCCAGGCCAGCAGCTTAGCCCTGGCTATCCAGGAGATCAACACCATGGTGAGAGGACAGCCTTTGGGGGGTTATTAACTTTCAGTAAACGACTACAAGGTGTCTGGACCCACACGTTCTCCTGTCTTATAGTAGTTTTGGTTTTGCTTGCCCAGGTTATGCTATGTGCATCTTTTGGCATTTCTTCTTCCACTGTAGTACAAGAGGAGTCCTATTGATGGGAATCATAGGGATCATATTGATATGAATATGTCACTATTTTAAAAAAACAAAACAAAGAACCCTAAAAGCTTTTAACTTCCTGGAGTCTTGGTCCACTGATACTGAGAGACTTTACTCGCCCTCCTCATTCAAAAAACTTATCAGTCACTCCAGACTGGGCACATGTGTCACACCCACAATCCAACCTGACTTTCTCCTGCGTTCTGTTTACCTCAAAACTTGGAGATGGAGTGTAAAATTACAAATTTGTTGACTTTGATGAAGTTGACATTGAGCCAGCGGTGGTTTTGGAGCCAGCTGCTCGACGCTGTTGTGTTTGGCCTCACTTGTAAGGTGTGGTTGTTGCCACAGTGATCCACGTTGTATGTTTGCAATATCTGTTTATCTGTTGTTCAGCATGATTTTGACCACCACAGATCGAGAAGCGTCTTGAACCAGTGGAGGAAGGGGAAGGAAATGAGTCGGAAACCCCAAAGTCAGGCTGCACCATCTTCCTGGGGTACACCTCCAACCTCATCAGCTCCGGAGTCAGAGAAAGCATCCGCTATTTGGCGCAGCACAAAATGGTACAAAATGACACGTCTTATGTAACGATCCACATAAGCTCTAAATCAGTCACCCGGTTTCTCAGAATCTGTTCCTCTGCGTCAGGTGGATGTTATTGTAACCACAGCAGGAGGCGTGGAGGAGGATTTGATCAAGTGCCTGGCTCACACCTACCTGGGAGACTTCAGCCTCCCTGGCAAGGAGCTCCGCCTGAGAGGCATCAACAGGTTTGTTAGCGCTGCTGTGGTTTATCTGTAAGCTAACATGTAAAATAAAAATATTAATAGTAAAATATAAAACTGTTTGTCGTGGCCACCCTTCAGCTTCTGTTTAGCTCATCCCCCTGGCTTCTTCTGTTTGACTTCCCCTTTTGAAACTTTTTTTAAACAGTGTAGATGAACAGCATATAAGGCAAAGCAATAATAGGTCCACTTTAAAGAAAACATGCTTATTCGCCTTAGAATCAATGCCACTGCACAGAGAGGAAGCAGTGCCAGTAAACCAAATGGATTGGACTGGTGTTTATATAACGCATTATATAAGCCCACCTTTCCACAAGCCTCATTCATACATACATACATACATACATACATACATACATACATACATACATACAGTGGGGCAAAAAAGTATTTAGTCAGCCACCGATTGTGCAAGTTCCCCCACTTAAAATGATGACAGAGGTCAGTAATTTGCACCAGAGGTACACTTCAACTGTGAGAGACAGAATGTGGAAAAAAAAAATCCATGAATTCACATGGTAGGATTTGTAAAGAATTTATCCGTAAATCAGGGTGGAAAATAAGTATTTGGTCACCTCAAACATGGAAAATCTCTGGCTCCCACAGACCTGTAACGTCTTCTGTAAGAAGCTTTTCTGTCTGTCCCCACTCGTTACCTGTATGAATGGCACCTGTTTGAACTCATCATCTGTATAAAAGACACCTGTCCACAGCCTCAAACAGTCAGACTCCAAACTCCGCCATGGCCAAGACCAAAGAGCTTTCGAAGGACACCAGGAACAGGATTGTAGACCTGCACCAGACTGGGAAGAGTGAAGCTACAATAGGCAAGCAGCTTGGTGTGAAAAAATCAACTGTGGGAGCAATCATCAGAAAATGGAAGACATACAAGACCACTGATAATCTCCCTCGATCTGGGGCTCCACGCAAGATCTCATCCCGTGGGGTCACAATGATCATGAGAACGGTGAGCAAAGATCCCAGAACCACACGGGGGGACCTGGTGAATGACCTGCAGAGAGCTGGGACCAAAGTAACAAAGGTCACCATCAGTAACACACTACAACGGCAGGGAATCAAATCCCGCAGTGCCAGACGTGTTCCGCTGCTGAAGCCAGTGCATGTCCAGGCCCGTCTGAAGTTTGCCAGAGAGCACATGGATGATACAGCAGAGGATTGGGAGAATGTCATGTGGTCAGATGAAACCAAAGTAGAACTTTTGGTATAAACTCAACTCGTCGTGTTTGGAGGAAGAAGAATACTGAGTTGCATCCCAAGAACACCATACCTACTGTGAAGCATGGGGGTGGAAACATCATGCTATGGGGCTGTTTTTCTGCCAAGGGGACAGGACGACTGATCCGTGTTAAGGACAGAATGAATGTGGCCATGTATCGTGAGATTTGAGCCAAAACCTCCTTCCATCAGTGAGAACTTTGAAGATGAAACGAGGCTGGGTCTTCCAACATGACAATGATCCAAAACACACCGCCCGGGCAACAAAGGAGTGGCTCCGTAAGAAGCATTTGAAAGTCCTGGAGTGGCCTAGCCAGTCCCCAGACCTCAACCCCATAGAAAATCTGTGGCGGGAGTTGAAAGTCCGTGTTGCTCGGCGACAGCCCCAAAACATCACTGCTCTCGAGAAGATCTGCATGGAGGAATGGGCCAAAATACCAGCTACTGTGTGTGCAAACCTGGTAAGGACCTATAGTAACGTTTGACCTCTGTTATTGCCAACAAAGGTTATGTTACAAAGTATTGAGTTGTATTTTTGTTATTGACCAAATACTTATTTCCACCCTGATTTACGAATAAATTCTTTACAAATCCTACCATGTGGATTCATGGATTTTTTTTTTCACATTCTGTCTCTCACAGTTGAAGTGTACCTCTGGTGCAAATTACTGACCTCTGTCATCATTTTAGGTGGGGGAACTTGCACAATCGGTGGCTGACTAAATACTTTTTTGCCCCACTGTACGTACGTACATACATACATACATACATACAGTCCTTTTATCGATGCCTAAGCACTAATATCTACCAATCACACACTCACACTCTGATCACCCCAATGGATGCACTGAAGGCAACTCGGGGTACAGTTTCTTACCCAAGGACACAGTGTTTGACCTCATAGTCGTGGACAAGTTTCTTATTCTCTATGCTTCATCACAAATGGCACATGTTGTGTTGGTGCAAGGATTTGACAGGCAGGTGCTGATCTGTGACCTTGGTTCACATAGACAAACCTGCTGATGTATTGATTTTGTCCTTGTCCGTCTCCCTCTGTCTTCACTGGCTGTAGAATTGGTAATCTGGTGGTGCCCAACGATAACTACTGTAAATTTGAAGACTGGCTGATGCCCATCCTGGACCAGATGTTGCTGGAGCAGAACACAGAGGTGAGTCGCTCCCTGCACCCCAAAGCCTACTGCAACAATAGTTGTTAGTCTTATGCACTTTTAGGTTTAATATGTAATATACAACTTTATAAAGAATTAGGAATAATAAGAAGTTTCTGCGATTCCAGGGCACCCGCTGGACTCCCTCCAAAATGATCCACCGACTTGGAAAGGAGATAAATAATACAGAGTCTGTCTACTACTGGGCATACAAGGTGGTTATGCACCTCGTATTCTCACTTGCTTTGCTTACTTTGAACTGTCTGTGCTGTTTGGTGGCTAAATGTGCTGTTGTGTTGCGTTTCAGAATAACATCCCGGTGTTCAGCCCCGCTCTGACAGACGGCTCTCTGGGCGACATGATCTACTTCCACTCGTATAAGAACCCCGGCTTGATTCTGGACATCGTAGAAGGTTTGTAGCGGCGCCGATGTTGCTGGCTAAAACGCAGGTTTTTAGTCGTTTCGTGTTGCTAATGCGCGCTTTATTTTCAGATATTCGCAGGTTGAACAGCCAGGCAGTTTTCGCCAAGAGGACTGGGATGATCATCCTGGGAGGGGGGCTGGTCAAACATCATATATCCAATGCAAATCTTATGGTAACTAAATTCTTTTATCTTTGGCTTGAACTTTTTTTTTTTTTTTTTTTTTTCTTTTCTTTAGCTTGAACTTTTCTCACTTCTGAAAAAGTTTGATAAACTAGGTTATACCTAAGAGGTTCTACTTGAGTACAAATCTGAGGAACGTGGGCTGTCTGAGTATTTCCACTGTAGCTGCTTTAACAGTTACAGCCTGCAGTTACTTCAGATTCACTGTGATTTTCTACCTGTAAGTTGCTGTGACAATTCATAAGAAATTGTTCTTATTTCGAGAAATATTAACAAGTTAAACGAGTAAAGCAAACTTCCTCACAAACCTAATCAGAATCCTGTTTTGACACTCTCTCTTTCCTGCCAGAGAAATGGAGCGGACTACGTGGTGTATGTGAACACGGGGCAGGAGTTTGATGGCTCCGACTCCGGGGCCAGACCGGACGAGGCTGTATCTTGGGGCAAGATCAGAACAGATGCCAAACCTGTTAAGGTGATGATAAATGTCAACTTTACCTCCTGTTTTTACGTCAGATGGTCTTTATTCACATCAGATTTTGAGATGTCTTTGGGGGTTTTTTTTTTTTTTTTTTTAAGCACACAAGTCTAAGGGTGTCAGTTTCAGAGGTGTTTTAAGAACTGAAAACGCCTTTGAAGACTTTTAAGAGTGCGGTACATAACACCCATACGCTTGCTGTACTGGACACATCAGCTCCATGCACTTATGGGATCATTCAGGCATCACGGAGATGTGGTTGGTTGGGTTAGGGCAGACCTTCCCAAAGTGTGGGGCCCATGGCAGGGGGGGCGCGGTATGAAAGGGGGGGGACAAAGCGGGCGCCTACAGAAACGCAAAGCAGGAGATGAAGCATCGCTGAATATGTTTCCAAACCAACTTCATTCTAAGCCAAAGACTAGAAAATATGGTGAAGCATACGTTTTTCTTGTAAAACAAAGGGGGGCCTAGCAAAAAAAGTTTGGGAACCACTGGGTTAGAGTTGGTGGTTAGCAGGGTTGAGATCGTATAACTGCGGGCCAGACTGATCCAAACATTTCTGTTTTCATGACTACTGAGTAATGTCTGAGAAGCTAAGCTAGTATATTAATTACTGGGTTTTTTACCTGTAGCTGTCAAAGGTTGATGGGGTATTATCAGGGGGTTTGTGAACACGGGAATTTTCAAATTCATACTGTAAGTGCAGTAAGTTTGGGATCTCAGTGACCTGAACCCTCAAGGTCAGAGCTCGTCTTTTCTGAAAATCACCTTGAACTTTTACATTTACACCATAGGTGCTATTAAGAGGCTGGGGGAGGTACTGGGAGCCACCAGCATTTTAATTTTTAATTCTTTTTTTTTTGTCATGCTTAATATAGAGTCACGGACACTTTATTAGATAAGCCTTGGTTCTGCTGGTTTGGACCCCTTTTACCTTCAAAACTGTGTTAATTCTCCAAGGTGCTGGAAACTATCCTCACAGATTTTGATCCATATTGACAGGATAGCATCACACATTTCTGCAGATTTGTCGGCTTTCTGACGAGACTTTGCTGTTTCACCACATCCAAAGCCGTTCCGCTGGTTTGAGATCTGGTGACTGTGGTCTGGTGATTTGAGTACAGTGAACTCATTGTCCTGTTCCGAAAACCAGTTTGAGATCACTCTCTTGTATGTAAATCCCAGTAGTTCAGCAGTGTATGAATAGATGTGCAAATTGAAGTGGCCAGTGATTTTTAATAACAAAGAATTCTCTCTGTTTGATCTGAGCGACTTGCGTTTTTATTGCTTTCATTGTTCCATGTTTGGAGAGTTCCTTCTTTCAGTGAAATGTGTTTTAGGGGCATTCAAAGTGTTTAGATATATTTTCATACTGGACCAGAAATGGCAGCGAGGTAACAAAGCAGAGCAACAGATTCTTCGCACACAACGAAGGAACGAGAACAAGTCAAACAGAACGGGGAAAATGGTGTCAATGGTGGTGCAACTAGGAGATGTGTTCCTCATTTTGGCCTCAAGTGGCAGCGTCTGTACAGTGTTTGTACTCAGAGTGCATCCAAGGCACTGAAAAGCATAACTAGGAAAACTGTCTGGTTTCACTTTAGTGAAAAACAATAATACAGCATCATTGTTTAAAAAATATGATTTTTATCATAATAGAAAAGTGATCAGCGGCTCTGTTCTTGGTTCTCAGGTGTACGCCGATGCCTCTCTGGTCTCCCTCTGATTGTGGCCGAGACCTTCGCTCAACACGTCGACAAGCTGGCCGCCGGCAAAAAAACGGATTAATTGGCTGCTCTGTTTAAAAACGACTGTCTTTGCTCCTCTGGTTTACGCCTTTTGTTTGTCAAATTGA